TGAAAAATTCTCGAGAGGAACGTTACATGTAAACAATATACAAACAAAAACATTTCCTTCACAGTTAAAAGTGGCAAAAGTAACTTCTTTATTTAAAAAAGGTGATAAATCAGACCCAGGAAATTATCGCCCAGTCTAAATTTTACCAACTATATCAAAAGTTTTAGAGAAGCATGTAGCAGAAAATGTACGCATCTTTACTTCTCACTTTGATTTATTAATGAAAGCACAACCTGGATTTAGAGAATTTCACTCGTGCCAGACGGCTCTCACAAAACTAACTGACAATTGGCTGCATGCAAAAGATCGAGGAAATTTTGTTGGCATTACTTATTTGGATTTTAGCAAAGCATTCGATCTCGTAAATCATGATATACTAATTAGAAAACTTAAATGCTATCACTTTGATCCAACATCAATTAACTGGTTTAAATCATATTTATATGATCAAACGCAAAGTGTAAAAATTGGTACATGCACATCTGAATCACTGCCAGACACAGCAGGTGTGCCACAGGGCTCTATTTTAGGCCCTTTATTATTTCTGTTATTCATCAGTGATTTACCATTATCTGTTGAACATTGTAATATTGATATGTTTGCTGATGACAGAACAATGCATTTTCATGGTAACAATATTTCACGTACTGAAACAACTCTTAATCATGACCTGTATCAAATACAAAACTGGTGTCAACAAATTCAGATGATTTTAAATACTGATAAACCAAAGTGTATGTTAATAGGAACACAACAAAAGAAATCAAAATTAGAAAATGCTGATCTTCATTTACAACTTTCCGGTCATCCCCTTGAAAACGTTGAATGGAAAAATTATAAGGTGGTCACATTGATCAAACTCTTCAATACACATGTCATGTAGATGCAGTTTGCAAAACTCTAACTTATGAACTGTTTACTTTAAGAAAAATTAAAAAGTTCCTTCCACTGCATACTGGAAAGCTATCTTATAATGCATTCAATTTACCATCAATTTTATATTGTCTATCCATTTGGGGTTACTCTCCTCAAACTCACATCGATAGAACATACAGACTTCAAAAACGAGCAGCTAGGATTATTTTAAATGAAAAATATGATGCAACTTCAATGCCCTTATTTAATATTTTAGGCTGGTTAACAATTCATAAACTTCTATATATACAGAAAAGCATTCTAATGTTCAAAATATTTCATGGTATGTCTCCTGATTATATGCATGACTTTTTTTTCGAATTTCAAAGTTCTGGATCATACATGTTACGCTCAGAAACAAATTAAGAACTTAGTTTACCAAAATATAAAACAAATTTATTTAAAAATTCTTTGCAATATTCAGAGGTTATTATCTGGACTGAGTTGCCTATGAGTATCAGGAATTCCAAATGCCTTGCAATATCTAAAAGTAATGTTGAATTTTTTTACTTGCGAAACGTACTGCCTCTACATGAAAATATGTTCCTTATTTCCCGCTTTCCTTTTTACCATATAATGAAAATTTGATGTTTTAATTTATTTTGTTGTAAAATAATGTTTATATTTAATGTCTCATAAGTGTGTTTTGTGTTTATTGTATATATACATGTAGGTCATTGTATATGTGTTATAAAGAAGGCCCCGGGGAAGACTAGTGCTTGCATTAATCGGGTGACCTTCTATAAATAAAAGTATTATTATTATTATTATTATTATTACATGAGGAAGACACACATATATTCGATATAACATAATGATAATTAGGGGAATCTCATTAAAATATCTTTTATGTAATTTGTCGAATAAAGTTGTTTCTGAGATTATTTCAGCGTATATTACATTTATAAATTACTTTTAAATTTACTTCCCAAAAATATGTAAAGATGACGTGTTTCGGACACTGAAAACATCCATATAGTTATTGTATACATTTTGAGAGACATCAATATACTTCTTGTATACATTTTGAAGGTATGTCATATTAAAGAAGTCTGAATTATGAATTTTGTAAACAGATACATAAGCTTAACAAACACAACATATACTATACATTCAATACGCAGGTTTCGAGATTATTTCCCTCGGTGCGCTCTTTCGTTACGGAGGGGAGTGTTGTTTCCACTTAAGCAGGCAGACGGGACAGTTATCTATACATTGGGTACACTATATCATCGATATACCATCGTAACTGAATGTTGGGATGCACTCTTCTACTCAGAAATTACCGAATTAAAGTAAAGGCCTCATTTTTTTTCTATGAACAAAAAATCGGAACAAAAGAAAATAAAATTCCGAACAAAAGAAAATATCAGTGGATAAGAACTTATCAAACGAGGGAAGAGATATGGATCTCTGATAAATACCACGCATCTGATCATTGTAGGTAGGCATTTTGAATTACTCTTTATCTTATAATAAATTCAAAGAGCCCAATAACTTTTCAGAAAAGGTTTGTATAATCGAAGAATTATTTTTCTTACAAAGACTAACCAAGCTAACGTTATGACATACGTTTTTTTTTTCCGTTTTCAAGTATCCTAATTGAAAGTAAATTTTGTAAATATGTATAGCAGAGTTTTATAAAACCATCAAAATGATTATTGCTTAGCATTATCATCTTTTTATAATATTAAATACATTTTTAAAGCCTTAGCCATCGTTCATTTATTTATGCACGTTTGTATACATTGGCAACTTGTCCCACTTCCATGCTGATATGGATACTTTTTGCGCCTTTATCGTAGGAGAGTTACAATCTCGCGTATTGTTTGAATCTCTTAAAAATGAGTAGTGTTAAATACACTCTACATTTAACAATTTAATCTGTTAATTACCCTTTTAATAAAATATTTACCATTAGTACATTGAGGTCCCTTCCAGCCCAGTTGGCATCCACCTTCACACTCCCCCGTCGTTCAATTGCATTTTATGGGATCACCACAGTTTTCATTACAATCTTTTTCACAGTTATTTCCAAATTTTCCTGCTGAACACTCTGTAATGAAGGTTTTAAAACATATTGAAATAGACATGTCACAATATTTTATATTCCTAAAGTGCAAGTGTCAAGAGTCAAGAGTAATGATACAAAATACCATATTTGTAAACATTTTAATACATTTTCAACTGTGAAATACTGTGATTTGTTTATTGAATAAAAGTGAAATGCTCTCACAGTTTAAAAGGATACCAAAGTGATATTCTTTCACAGTGTGAAAGGATATCAAAGTAATTATCTCTTTGTCATAAGATAGAGATAGTAACTAAATCGTGTTGACAGAGATAAAAGTGCCAATTTCTTCCCAAATTTGTTGTAAAATCCATATTACAATGTTTACAATCTAACAACTGCTAAGCTATGACTTCTCAACCGCTCAACTATGACCTTACAATCTATGACAATGTGTTAAGAAAAGACAAAGACAAAGGGAAAATCAAAGAAAATGTAATAAACTAGTTGGATATGGAATTTATTTCACTCGTGAGAGAGGATTTTTTTCATATATATATTTTCACTCGTGCTTCGCAGTCGTGAGAATATCAACAAATCCTGCCCCACTCCTGAAATAAATTCGATACTCAGCTACAAATTAAAACATTTGATATCCTTTATTTATTAAAAAAATACCTTCATTACAAAATGTTCCTTCATACTCAGCGTTACACTCTTCAGGACATGAAGCATTGATGTGATGACATTGTTTATAACCCAGACAGGCTCCACATCTTTGTCCGCAATCCTGTCCATATGTGCCACCGTCACATTTTATTGATTGCAATGAAGGTAGTTCCAACACACAGTAAAAAGGATGTATTAAAAAGTTTTTCATCCTATTACTTTTGAAAAAGAAGTTCATGCAGTTACATGAACCTTAAGGTAATATTTCATTGAAAAACGGAAAATTTATAGAATTAAGTAATTAGAAAAAAAAGATACGGTTTTACCGTTCTTTAGGGGAAAACACTTAAAAAAATATGTGTTTTTCTCATCTGTTGTCTTAAAACCAACCAGTAAAATAAAGTAATTTTTACACTGATATCCCTGGTACTTGTATCACAATGTTATGAATCTGGGTCTTTCTACAACTCTCTGTTTATTATCACACTATTCTCTGATCTGGGTTTTTTTTAAGAAATGGGACTAAAATAATTCGGAAGTGTAGTTTGCTTGCCTTTTTTTATATACTGCAAAGCAAAGTAGCTACCTTTGGAAAGATGAAAAGCCCTTTGTTTACACACCTCTTCTATTTTGTTTTCTTATATATACAGATTTAAGTGTACGTTTTTATATCCCTAAGTGCTGGAAGCTTTTTTTAAGAAGTGAGATTTTTTTTTACAAGCGAACTAAATTATGTATGGGATTGTACCATTAATTGTCTCCTTTTATATAAATTGCAAAGCAGAGTAGAAAATTCTCTAAAAAAAATAGTATGTTTAAAAAAGCTTAAACTATTTTGTATACATATTATCTCTTCTACATGTATGTACTATTCAGATATATACAGATTTTGCTTGTTGATATATCTCTAAGTGTAGATAGCTTTTTTCTAACATGATTTAAGATGAAAGAAAAATGGATTTTTTTTCCCTTTGATTAATAGCTGGCTTTTAACATTATTACGATTTAGCTAAATAAATATGGGTATGACAAGTTACACAATAATCTGATTATCATGTGATAAATTTTGTCATGTAACATTGCTATAAATACAACTTACATGTACACTGAGATATAGTTGACAATACAAAAAATGTAATTTTTATTCTATAATAATTTAAATGCTAAAATCTCCTATCTAATAATGCTATGATTTGTTCTGAAAACGTATTTTGAAAACTCCAGAAGCTTAAAATTAGTTACATTGAATAAGTCAATCAGTATAATAGTATTCTAGTCAGCTTTTGCAATTCCTGTTCTCAAATTCTGTATTTATTTCATCTCCTAGTATTCTGTCTCAAGCAAACAAAAGCTAACAAAATGGATTTTTTATGGATTAATTATGATATGTTTGTAGTTTACTTACGTATTTTACATTGATGTCCCTGGTATCCAGGTTTACATCCCTGACAAGCACCTGTTTCTATGTGACAATATCGACAGTTCGTGTCTGGACAGGGGAGAGAACAATTTGATCCATAGTATCCCGTTTTCTTGCATCCTTAAATAGCAGGGAATATAATCTTGTTAACGTAAATAGAAATGATATTTTTTTATAGTATAGCCATTTTTAGGAACTAATATGAGAACTAAGAATGTTCTGTTTGTAATTTAATGCACTCTTGTCGAACAATTGCTTCAAAGAGAATTTTTTTTTTCTCTTAATCTCTAGACTAATTATTAAAACTGTCTATAATAATCAAAAAAGGATATGTAGTCTTTTCTGAATACATAAGACAGAGCTCAGAGCTGATATAAAAAGTTAAAAAAGCCATACCATTCACCTCCACTTCACATAAATCAGCGTGTGCATCTTGAGAGTACTGGGTGTGATATGATGAATTCTGTGGTCTCTCATTATAGTAGATAACAAATTGTCCATGTACAGGACACAGTATGTCGATGACAGCTGGAATGTCGGCTCTGGTATAGTTTGTGTCATGAAAACATAAATAATCATCTTGTCTGTCTGTGGTGTTAGAAACATAAACATAAAAACCCAAGATACGTGCTGTGTGACCATTTGAATGACCTGAAAAAAATGTAATTTGAAATTTAAAATCAATTACAAGTATTGACTACGTCTTATATAGATTGTCCCTTTAAACTTAAAAAAAATAATAACATTCAGTTTCAAAGTTCATCAATGATCTTTTGAAGATAAAATATATTATATTGTACGGTTTCCGTAAAGCCTGAGCGTAAAGATAAAAGTTGTGATAAAAAATGCTGACCTTAATATGAATTTAAACAATGAGTAGAATTACCCCATGGTACATTATCTGTCCTGTAATATATCCTTATGTCATGGATGCTGTGGACGGATGTCAAGTTCACCCACCGGATGGCGCTTTTCTGACCATCACCTAAAATAGCACATTGTCCTCTGAGAGCTGAGAGGTTAGTCTTCAGACCATCAACAGCATTGCTGGAGTCAAATGTAGCAGGTGCATATACGGCACTCATGTACGCATTCGATTGATGTGTTGGTTTATTTAAAACTATGTTTTCTAAAAAAAAAAAAACAAAAAAAACAAAGGTTGTTTACATAATGAAAATAGCTTCATGTTTTGCCTTTTTTATTCCTATCATTGTAAAATAATTGAAAACAATATCATTTATAAGTAACATTTTATAGCAATAATATGCTAGTTTCTTCTCACTGTTATGAACGTAACAGAATTGTTATAACCATTTAAGTTTAATGCATTTTTATAACAATGCATAACGTTTATTAATCGATGTGATAATTTCAAGAATGATTTATTATTACATTAAAAACAAATTTATGACTCAAAAAACTTACCATGTCCATGAATAATGTGCAGAACTGCCAATAACAGACTGAGGTGTAACATGGTGGTAGGCACGACTGAGGAAGTTAATAAAATACGAAAGAACAGGCACTGCATCCCTTGATGCTTCTTTATAAACATGTTATCTTAAAAGAATTCAAAGAAGCATACTTTATGTTTAAGTTATATGAAAAATAATATTTATCATAACCATTTTCTTATATATTCTTTTCCCATTTCATACGATTTAAACACCACTTTACAAAAGAAAACTTGAATTTTTACATACGAGTCCCAAATGAATCATGGCAAAGAAAAACAATTAATAGAAAATGAGGATAATGACGTTTAAACGGACAAAGATGTTACTAAAGAAAAAAAAACACTGATTAAAAATTTAATTCCCTTTATACGTCTGATCACGGACGAAAGCGAAGAAAATGTAAGGAAAAGGTTGAAAAAAGGAAGTAAAAGAGAAAAAATAAATATTTAATCGTAAAGAAAAAGAGAAAAAAATGACATCTCTTCACCGTTAAAGTTTACAATTTTTTAGCATTAAAATTCATTAACAACCATAACTATCTATATACAATGGCTTGTGCAATTGCATAATATGCTCAATTTTTAATCAGAGTCAAGATCTTGTATTCATGAGACAGAGCAGATGATTCAAATTGTACATTAATTTATATCCAGAAATGAGGAATATATGGAGATAACGAACTGTGTTCAAGCTCAAAGTTCCATTAAACAATACAAAATAGGAGCAGAGCAAACACGGACATCCAAAACATCAGAGGTTGGGTCAGGTGCCATGGAGGAGTGAGCATCCCCTGCCGACCGGTCACACCCGCCGTGTGCTCCTTGTCATGATCGAAAATAACGGAAAATCCGTCGACAATTCAGTGTGTAAATAATGGCCTAACAATTTGTATGAAAAAGTTAGTCAGCATTTGACTCAATGATAAATTATATTTGTTGAAAAGGTCATTGTATCGACCATAGAACTTACGAAATGATGACTTTAAACGAGACAGCTGATATTCTTGTTTCATCAACTTGTTTGTCAATAATTTACCTCGTTTTAGAAATTGTACATACGTAGGACATGCTCTTGTGTATCGAATCAACTGAGATATATAAACCCCGTATGCAGGTGATGAAGGTATATTGCTGCATAAGTAAGGGAAGTTGACGATTGAAAAGTTAAAGTCATCACGTTTATCATAAAGCTTGGTTGTTAGATTACCATTAACGTCTTTTCAAGTAAAACATCCAAATATGAAACAGATGCATCAGACTCTATGGTATCTTTTATTTCAAGCTTAGCGGGATAAATCATATCGACATAAGAATGGAGACAACAATTATTAATTGACAATACGTCGTTGATATATCTAAATGTCGAGTTGAGGGCCACAGAAAGTGTTTTCTTCTTTTCACGTATAAGATTTTGGACAAATTCTGCTTCATATGAATACAAAAAAAAGGTCTGCTAATAACGGGGCGCAATTTGTACCCATGGGAATTCCAATAGATTGTTGGAAGACCTGGTCTCCAAAAACCACCTAGATATTATCAATCAGAAACTCAAGCAGCTTTAAATGTCAACTTCTGAGTACTTTTGTGTACAGTCAGAATGCTTTTTAACAAAATAATTTTGCAAATGCACAATGACAAGGTAAGTAAAGTTCCATTTTTAATGAAAAAGCAGCTGTCAATGATATCAAAAAGCCTGGACTTTAATTTATCGTGGGGAATTGTTTTGTATAAAGTTGAAAAGTCGTAAATTTTTAAGCTGTTGATTTTGTTAAAATCTTGTGATTTCAAATATTTCAAAAGTTCCTTGAAATTGTTTAGTATCCACATCTGATTTACTCCACTTCTCGAATATGTTGTTGCACAGTACACTTGACGTTTCAAAAAGTTTGATTTTTTTCCGGTCCGTGGTAAGTATTTACTTATGATATTAATAATAATTTGTAATGTATATTTTGGAGATCACTATATTTTCGCGACACCTTATTTTCGCGAGATAACTATTTGGTATTTATTATCGAGACAACATTTTCGCTAGAGGTGGTTTCCGTTCTATATAATCATTTAAAATACAAATATAGGCGAGAATAATTTTTTCCTGAACAGACAGACTCGCATAATTAAGGAAAAATAGAGATCCCGCGAATAAAAAGTGATTTACAGTAGTTTTTTTAAGGCAGATTTATTATTCGTTCTTATTTCTGAACTTGGCCAAATCTCCCCATTTCACTTGTTGTTCAGTCAGGTGTGACGGCTAGGGAGGGTGTTCAGCTAGGTGTAACGGGTAGCGAGAGTGTTCAAAAAGCTTTTGTATTATATTGATAGAATTAAATTGTTATTGTTCGCAATTTTCTTTTATGCAGATTTGTTACATTAAGTGGAAAATTTTGTCCATTTCATTTTTGGTTTAAATGTCTAGGCGGAAATGAAGGGCCGGAAGTTGAAAGCAATGTGTGCCATGTTGGCAGTAATATTGTTTTGATTTGTTTTGACATGTTAACTGGTAACCATTGCACTTTATAGTTTTTGATTTCTTTTATGAGAATGAATTGCCAAACAGTGCTGTTGCCAAACATTATTTAGTGAAACATATGACTTAAAAGTATTCTTCATTGTAGCGTTAATGATACTGCTGTGACCTATGCTGAATACATGCACAAAGCTAAGGGGATCGTCGAGATACAGCGAAGATTGCTGTGCCTGGGTCAAGATTCACTGGTGGTGGACATATACAGATAAGTCAATCCACATAACATTATGTTAGCTCGTTATATGAACACTGACGAATTGGCAAACTTTAAATGGTTTCACTCATGCGGTGATGATGATGACGATGATAATCATTGATATGGAGATGACGACTACATTGGGAAATGTTTGGCATTGATAACTTGATAATTGGATTGTATATCCGGGGTTAATCGGTTAATTGTTTGATTATTTAATTGGTTACCATTTTTTGTTTCATAGTGTGGAAGAGTGTGGATCAGAGTGCAGTTGTTTGTGTGTAACATTTGTTGTTATTATTTTTGTGAAGAAATTTGTTATAAGTTAGTTGAATTTGTGTGATTTTTGGATATAGCCAGCTTGCCCACGTGACAGGCACATTGGATATGTGGAATTGCTCCTATGTGTTTATCATGTAAAAGATTCCTTCGTAAATTTTGTTTTAGGCTATAAGTTCACAACAGTCTTTAAATTATACGTGATGTGTCCCTTTTTTACTTCACAACAAGCTTTTTTGCATATATGCATATATCACTATAATAAAATCAATTTTTTAAAATAATTTTTTGTTAAAATATTTTACTTGTTTAACACTTTACAGAATTATGTTACACGATTTTTTTTTCTTGGCTGTTTTCAAGATATTTTTTTTTTCATGAAAAGTCTAGATCACTATGTCCGTTTCGAGAAATACTGCTAGATCTTAAGTATAGTATCAACTTTTTTTCTATTCATGTGTTTCCTCTTTGCAAAATTGTCGAAAATCTTATTTCATATTAAGTCCAGGTAACGTTACATTTAGATATAAATAGTAAGAAGACGTGCTGGAAAAATAATGTATAGAACTATGTCTGATGTGTATATATTTTGGGAAATATGATGAATAAAAATTAACTAGCTAAGTAAAAAAAAAATAAATAAGAATTATAACTATGATTAATACAAAAACAAATCTAGAACTTGGGGGCTTTGAACCGGTGACCCAAAACACGAAAACAGTCCAGAGTACACCATTAGGCTACCCACACTATAAAGAAATCCTTTGTCTTTTGTGTATATATAGCCCCGTGTTAGAGTCTTTCTAAAAGTAGGATAACTAAAGTTTAGAGTCATTTTTTTTTATCTAAATACCAATTGAAACCAAAAAGATTTTGGACTTTGATATAACAGTATACTATGATACCAAAAGATAAAAACTAAACCCATTCAAGATTCCTCTGGTTTAAGTTGGTTCAAATACACAAATCTATATTTTTCACTGCCAACACAATAAATCTCCATATTTTCTATGCAAAATATGTAAATTCCATTGCTCTTGCCCCATGCAAAATCTGTAAATTTCATTGCTTTTTGTCTAAGATAATTTTGACAGGTACTGCTATGATTTGTATTTGTTTATAGCTAGATTTACATAATATCATAAAATATTGAAATGTGTGGATATTAGTAAATGCGATGTATTGTAGGTAATTTGGTGTAATAAGTGCTTTATACCTCTTTACATAATTTTCACAGAATTGTTCTACAATGATTTATGCACGCGTTTTAATGGAAAAAATACAAACATCCAATCCATCAACCCAGACTGTACTTAATATTTAGGAACACTTCTTAAACTATGCTAAAAAAAATGTTCCTTTAATCATTTTCAACAATAAATTTAACTTCATTTTAAACAATAAAATGCTTTCTTTGGTTGTGAGAACGGGAGTTAATGATAAAGATGTTGCAGAAAAAAAAAACATAACCTGTAATAACATGAAGATGGATGGAATAGAAATTAAATATGCCAGTTTGCAAGTTTGTGCTCTGTACACCGTTGAAGAAGTACTGGATGGATGTGCTTAAGAATGTTAAAGAACTGGGAGACAACATATTAGACAACATACACATTGAATATACGCTCAAGGAAATTCGTGTCAATACAGTTTATTAATATGGTAATAACAACTTATACTTATAAGGATATCATAAGGCATTGTGTGTTCTTTATAGGAGATAGTTCGTTATGTTCTAGATCCATGTTACCGAGTATTAACGAGTGGTTTTGGTATTGTACATACCGTCTCCGATTTCTATTAAAATTGAAATATTTTCCGTATTATGTGAGGGTCGTCCTATTATCGACACGTAATATAAAGGTACGTTTTTCTTTGAAAGGAAGTTTTATGTAAGTGGATGTTGTTCGTTTTATTATAAAAGGAAGGAAATCATTTATGCTCAGAATTTAAACAGAAAAGATAAAATGGCTGAAAATATTTGGAATCTTTTTAACTTTAGAAAGGTAAATATATACT